CCGCTATCATATACAACAAGATTTTGAGATTCTGATCGATCAGATCTTCAAAATGATCGATCATATTTGATAATTTTTTCAAACAATTAATTATAATCGATTAGTTTTCTAAATTATTGATTAGAATTGATTAGTTTTTCAAATAATAGATTAGAATTGATTAATTTCTAAAATATATATTCAAAAATTATAATTAAAAATATACATTATTTAAGAATATTAACTATTGTAAAGATAAAATTGAACATGGGAGGAGATGAGGATGATAATATAATGATAGAAGTTACAAAAATGTAGAATTGAGAAGTTTGAAACAAAAAAATTAAGAAAATAGAGATTTAATTACACTTTTAATAAATTGAAGATAATACTAGTTTTGATTTCTATTTTTAACTATTTATCTTAATTATTTAAAACAGAGAAACTATAATTTTAGTTTCCAAATACTCAATTTAAAGAATTAAATTCATTATTATTTAATCTTTTAATTTGAGTATTAAAAATTTAAATTATATTTTATTAAATTAAAATAATTACAATATAATTTTCTACTTTGAGAATGAACAATATAATTAAACTCAAAATTGAGAATATTATAATACATTTTTGAACTCTTTTGGATTAATTTTTTTCCTAATTTTTGATAAAGTTAATTTTAATATTTAAAACTATTTAACATTTTGAATTCTGAAAGGTTTTCTCTAATAGCAAATTTAAAAACATAATATTCAAAAAAATAGTTAATGTAAGTTTTAATTATGATCGATCATAATTTGAAATGAACGATCATAATTGAGTGGATATAATAGCGGTTCCACGTTAACCGCTATCTAAAGTGTATATTAGATAGCGGTTAAGATTTAACCGCTATTAGAAGTGGTTTGTAATAGCGGTTCCAGTGGAACCGCTATCATATACAATCATATTTTAAGATTGTGAAGTCTCGAGTTGTATTTCGCTTGAGCGACACTATACTCGCTCGAGCGACATCTGATTCTAACATGAGGTCTCACATGTTACATTATCCGGCTAACTTTGATCGACGTTTACGCAGGTCAACATTCGCTCAAGCGATAATAAGGTCGCTCGAGCGACGCGACCTGCACAAAATTGGCATTCTCGGGTTGTATTTCGCTTCAGCGACAATGGTCTCGCTCGAGCGACGCCACCTGCACAAAATTGGCCTTCTCGGGTGGTTTTTCGCTTGAGCGACACTGTCTCGCTCGAGCGACATCCACATTTTTTGGTTATGATCGAGTACATTTTCAAATGATCGATCATATTTGAAAATATATAATAGCGGTTAAGATTTAACCGCTATCATATACTACCACATTTTTCACTTTCATGTCTCGCGCGACTTATCCCCAAATAACCCTAACTCTCGCGCCTGACTCACTCATTCCTCTTAACCTTGGTCAGTATCTCCTCCTCACTCCCGGCGAGCCCTAGCCCCCTCACTGCTCCCCCCAAGTCAGCCCTCACCCTAATCCAACCTCCACCAAAGCTCCTCGTCAACCGGACGCCACCCTGTGAGCCACCGCGCCACACCTCTGTTCTTAACCTCCTCCGCAGCCTCTGACACCCTCAACCAAGGTTTGACTTGTTTGAATGTATATACTGTTATTCTCTTGCATTGTGAATAATATAGGAGAGATAATTTTGACAGAATTTCTTTATGGTTTGTTGTAGGTGGATTTGTGAAGTAGATAGGTTCTTCGAGATCCCTCTTACTGCGGATTTGGTGGTGCTTGAATGACCAATTTGGGAACTTGTTTTGTTTTGTTTAAAATATGAACACCATTGTTATGTTTAAAATATGAAGGAATTTTAGCAGAGACCTTGTGCACACTGTTCTTTTGTTTCCCTCTTTTACCTAGCGAGGTGCGGTGGCGACGTGGCACTCGAGTAACAGCAGATCGTTGTGCTTTCTATAATTGCGAGGTTCCTTGGGTGGCGGGTGCTTCACTATCTTCATATTTTTATTACGAGTTTGATTTTAGAAAGTTATGTGTGCATGATGTATCCTTTATAGTGTGTGTTGCGTAAACATAATAAGATCTTCAATTAACAAGAGGCCATGATTGTTAGGCTAGATGGTTTTGTACACCATTATCCTTCTGTTTCATTTGAGGAAAATCTAAGGTACCAAGGTGATAAATAAACTTATTTTGTGATTAGTACAGGACACACTTGTACTTACATTATGGAAAGCAATACTTGAAAGATTGTTACATTGAAGGGAGTGTGAACTTCATTTTTGGTAATAGTACTTGCACTCTTGGAACATTGTCACATCCATTACAAGTCCGTGGGGTTTATAACCGCACGGAGCGGAAACTCTCCACAGGAAAAAGCTGGTTATGTATTCCTGAGGTGTGTGATCATGCCTAATACTTACAACATCATCTTCCCACATAATATTTTTTTTTTAGTCATTGTAACTTGTTTAACAAGGAAAGAGACATTTCTCAATCATCTTGTTTCCCCTACAATACAACAGTGTTAGTGACTCTTACTTTGTTTTCCAATTCCAAGGCAAAATATGTTAGTGACTCTTACTTTGCAGTTTGGTTTGTAAATGTTTAGAAGCATGGCTAACACAGATTTAGGAGTATTTAATTAGAAAAAAACATTCTAGGTTAAAACAAGAACCAGATTCTCTTGAAGCTAGGGAAATGATCCCTTGAAAATTCAATGAATTCAGGAATCCTGTAAGAAATCTTAGAATAAAAATCTTTGAATCTCATACTACTCTATGCTTCCTTGTCAATATTTTGCTCCTCTCCCTTTACAGTGTTTCTTTGGTGTGTTAATCTGTTAAACTTCCGAGTCCAAGAAAGGATACTACACAAGTAAAGTAATTTTATTATGTTGTGAACATTTTGGTTCCTTACATGATGTTTTGTTTGTGGTGTCATTGCAGATGTGTTGTCACAGGTAATAGGAGAACTTCATATGCATATCTGGGAAGACCATGGAGACATTTTACAAGAGTGGTTTTTGCATTCACTTTCATGGATCAATGTATAAAGCCTGCAGGGTGGAATAATTGGGGCAAAGTTGAGAATGAAAGAACTTCTTGTTTCTATGAATACAGGCAATCATTTCTAACTCCATTCTGTAGTATTGTTATCATCACCAAGGCCTTCTTATACTCATTAAATCAATGGATCTGACAGCAAAATTGTTGATAATTTCATAAAAACATCAAAGTGAAAGAGGGTCTAAAGTGTATAAAATTGTTGTTTATTAAGTTGAACAAGTTTGGAGTAATTTGATAAGAGTGCAGGTGTTCTGGACCGGGTTTCTGTCCATCCCAAAGAGTGAAATGGGCCAGAGAATTGAAGAATGAAGGAGCTGAGCAGTTTCTGAGTCACACCTTCATTGATCCAGAATCAGACAGATCTTGGCTTCCTCAAAGAATAACCTTCAATTATTAATTAGGATTATTATTATAATAGAATAATTAATAGATCTTAGCTTCCTTCATAAAATTCCTACTACAAGTCAATATGACATCGACAATATACCAAAGGACTAATTTTCAATTTTATGATATTAAGACTTTGAATCTTGAGTAGTTGTTAAGTTCTTAAGTTTCATTTGTGTTATGTTTGGATGAATTAAGCACGTACAAATTTTGTAAAATTGGATATACAAAATTTGACTTTAGTTCTTAAGTTTTCATTTGTGTTATATTTAGATGAATTAAGCGGTACAAATTTTATGATTTGAATAATTTGACTTTAGTTCTTAAGTTTTCATTTGTGTTATGTTTGGATGAATTAAGCGTGTATAAATTTTGTCAAATTGGATATACAAAATTTTAAACGAAAATTTTCAGATTTGGTTAGATTAGCGATCGAATTTTTGGTCGCTACAAATTTATTATAATATACAATTCAAATTTAGCGACCGATTTAGTGATCGATTTAAATTATTATTTAAATAATTCAATTAATATATTAGCGATCGATTATATCCGTCGCTATTATTTTTAACTTTATCTCCATTTTAGCGATCGATTTAGCTGATCGATTTTAATTATTATTTAAATAATTATATTAATATATTAACGATCGAATATATTAGTCGCTATTTTTTAAAACTTTACCACGGATTTAGCGACCGATTTATTATATTATTTTCGGTCACTATTTTGGTCTTCAATGCATAAGTGACCAAATTATTTAGCGACCACCTCATCGGTCGCTATTTAGCGACCGAAATGTAAATCGGTCGCTAACAAATTAGCGACTTGCCCTTTTGCGACCAACCATTTCGGTCACTAATAGAATAGCGACCGATTTTTGTCCATTAGCGACCGATTTTGTCGGTCGCTAATAGCGTTTTTTCTTGTAGTGAGTGTCATTTGGCATTAAAAGTATTTTCGTATTATTTTTTAATCTAAATTAGCGTATCTTTAATGAATGGTTGGAAGATAATATCTAGGGTTAGACTATAAGGTGGAGAAATGAAAGATGACTTGAAACTTGAATATCTCGTAGTTGATTTGGCCTCTTGCCCACAAAGCCAGAAAACAAACCTCGTATACAGAGCACCACTTCAGCATCCTCGAGCATGAGTCGCACGCCGGAACCCTAATTAAGTAAGTGGCTACATTCTTAGATTGATTCAGTCATTCAAAGCATATACGTGAGATTAAATTAAATAAACTATTTTTTGCCCTAAGCATTGTAAAAGTAAAAAAGGATGAGAGGTATTTATAGATACCCTCCGATCAGTATCGCATATAAGTGCAAGTGTTTATCAGAAACACCGGTTTCAACAAACCATTAAAATAATCCTTAGTTCTCTCTTTATTTCTGTGACTTAAACTCTACAATTATCATTATAACCAATCAGGTTTCAAATAGCTTCAACTTTCAGAAACATAAACGGAATGAAAAGGAAAGAAAGGGAGATAGAAACCACAAGCTTTTTTCCTGCATGTCAAACAATATATAAAGCAGGACCACTCTCAGGCAGCTATATATTTAATTTGAGTTGCTTCCTGTTGCATCAGGCGCCTGAAGGAGTTCTTCCAACAACTTATCGTCCAAATATTCCAATTCTAAAGTTTCATCACCATTTCGTTGTTGTTGTGAGGAACCCTCGCCACCGGAGTAAGAAGGAAAAGAAGAAGAACGAAGAGGCAATGAAGATGAAAACGTGTTAGGATTAGGAGTGGTGTGACCATACTCATTAGGGAAGTTGAGTATGGCCTTGTGACCCCGAAAATGAAAAGCAGCAGCATCGTAAGCACGTGCAGCTTGTTCAGCAGTGTCAAATGTTCCAAGCCATATTCGAGCCCCTTTTCTTGTAGGGTCACGAATCTCTGCTGCAAACTTTCCCCATGGCCTCCTACGAATCCCTCTGTACCTAACCTCTGCGATTGAAGCGTTTCCATTCACAACTCCTCTCTTTTCCTCCATTCCAACTTTAAATTGCGAGGTGGTAATTTGCTTGTGATTAGGGGATACGCAGTATTTATATATGCATGATCAACTTAGTGGCAAAGCTTGACCATGCATGTGGTCGTAAGAGACGGTTTGAACTTCAACTTCTTTTTAATTCTGCAATTAATTAAATATTAAGTGGTGTTTGACGCATTAGACCAATAAACTATAAAGAAATATTTATCTAAAAAACCCTAGTAATAAGTGTTGTTGTCGAAACATACACTGCATCTTTAAGTTATTATATATTAAACTTGTGTTTGTGGTTGAGATTGACCTCACTAAGAATGTCATATATCATAAGCAAATAAGAACGACAAGTTCATGCATGACGAATAGATGCACGTACATGAACCAGCCCCGGCAACTAAATTGTCCTATAAAATGCCCCTCACGTCACGATGATGAGATTGGATCAGGCCCATTAATACCAATATTGAGTTTGGGCCTTGGGCCGATGGCCCGACCCAACTCTTATACCCTTCCAACATAAAGTACACTTGAGATAGAAAGCGTGTTGAGTTTAACATGTTCATTAGAATGCAGTGGTGGAAGTGGATGCACAAGTTCTTGGCACGACGATTGTGGCTATTAGAATTAATTTAATTAATTTATTATCAAAAATTATTTCATAAAATCTTTAGATTAATGATTATCACAATATAACATGCATTGGTACATGAATCATAAGAAGAGTAACATTGATTCATGAGAGTTTATTTTTTAATCTTTTTGTTCTTTAATCTTTTTTTCTTAATTTATCTCTTTATTTTTCTTTCTTTTCTCACATTTTCTTGATGGTTTAGTGTAAAAAAAAATTCATCACAGAAACATAACTCTTATTCCATTTTATTAATAAGAGACTCACATTATTTATTGATTTGATGGGTGCGAAAATGGTGATGGTTGTTTGCATTGTTGTAATGTAGGTATATGTATAGACTTTCAAGGTTAGGAAACGACGACAAAATGGTATATGTTTTAACCAAAATAACGTTATTATGTACGAATCTTTTAAAAACTAAACTTCGTACGACACGTGCATTTTATATCATGTGGCATTTAACTTACCACTAGTACATTTTAATTAAAACTAGTTAACGTAGGAACTCTAAAATATTTGACAGATTCAAAATTCCAGAAGCTCGAGAGTAGTTTCTTTTCTTTCAAAGGCTGATCATAAGTTCTATTCTATATTTGAATGGAGAAATTATTTTTATACGATAATATTGTGCAATTTTGTTACCATTATTAAATAGATAAAACAAAAGAGAAAAAAGTGATAAAATTAACAATAAGATAAAAATACCAAACACTTTGTATCAATAGAAACTAATAAAATTGGTCATATATATTTTATTTTTGTAAACATAAAAAAAAATGCTATACACGTCATAGAAGTTTTCCAAAATTGAGGGTAAATTAAATACACCTGTCGGCTCATAAATGCATCATCAATCATCGTCAATCACATTCAGCTTTCGGCTTAACCCACTTGGCTTTATCATGGCCGCCACTTAATTACTTCATTTGCCAAATTAATTAATTATCATTTAGGAAATAAACTTCAAGGATAATTAATAGGTCTCCCCGTCTAGGAAATAACAACAAAAACTAATATTCAAAGTTATAACATGTTATTATTTAAGAATTACTAATTTAATTATTTTTATGGTCTAAATTATTTTCCATTTAAGGATTAAAAATTATTCATGTATTTTTCACTACTACCTAATTATTATACATATGATTTCCATCATTTGAATTCCACGCGATATTCCAAACAAGGATCACAGAGGATTCATTTCTTAATTCCTATAAACTAAACTGTCTCTTGCAAAAGCTTCCAAACTGTGGGATTCACACGATCGCATGCGCCATCAAGAATTCAGCATTTTTATTAGGACGTGTTTACCCTTTGCTTTTCATAATTCATAGTAATTGATAATTAATTCGATTGTTAGAAGATAGTACTATTATAATAATGTTAGAAATTTATAAAACACTTTAGCCTATTTTATCAAATATTTTTAGTCTAAAAACAAGATAATATAAATATTTTAAATAAACACAATCAAAGTCTCGTATTAAATCATATTTTAAAATTTTAAATTTTTTAACTATATCAAATATCATCGTAAGATTTTTATGAAATTTTTCTCATATAGTGTAATAGTTTTTTTGTGGTTGATGTTTAACAGTTGAATGTCAAATTCTTTATTAAGTGCTAACACTAAACGATATTTTAGTCTAACGCTTTAGTTTTAACGTCATATAATATGCAACTGATCTCATTTAATAAAATACAAAATTTATTGATCATATTCATGAAAAATAATCAATTTATAAAAATTTATAAATTAATTTGGAAAAATAATTTTTTTAAATGAAAGTATTTTCGTTATTAATTTCATAATAAAAATGATATAAATTTCAGAAATGTTGAACGATGAGTGAGTCACTATAATTGATTCATGTCTTAACCCTTATCTATGGGTAATAAAAAAAGTATTAGTCTATTCAACATAAATACCATATTTATATATAAGATAATCAAAGAAAAAAAATAGAATAATTAAAATGAGATGAAATAAAATAAAAGAGTAAATATACGTTAAACAAATATACATAATTTTATAATATTATTTAATTATATTTTTTTATTATTAATTTCAAAATAATTACTATAAATTAATAAATTTATTATATATAATAATATGATTAGCTAGATTTTTTTTATCTAAATACGTAGTTTATTACTTTTAATAAAATTTTCTTAAATTATATTTGTTGATTTATAAAACTCAAAATTTATATATATTTGATAAATTCAAAGTCAATTTTATACAAAATAACTTAACTGTTATTTTTTTTATTTACTAAATATTGAGATGTTTTTCAACATTTAATTATTGTGTATATGTGACAGGGAGTTATCATATTTAATGGTTAATAATGCTATGGTTGAAAAAATATATATAAATATTTTACGATTCTGATTTAAGTTTTTTTTTGTATTGTTTAATTACTTTTTTTAATAACTAAAATTGTTAATCCAAAAGATAAAATAATTTATAATTAGATAAAAACCAAATATTTTAATATTAAATAAAAAAGTTAGTATAGAGCAAATATATTTATTCACACTTTATTTATATAAAAAGCATCGTATGTATAAATTCTAGTCATTTGTCTTCTCTGTTGGATTCTCAACGCCCATATTTTTGAAGACATGAGTATAAGTTAGTACAGAGTAAACATTCTTAACCAGTCATATTTTAAAATGAAATAAAATTATTTTTCTCTTAAGTTGAGTATGTGTTTTTTCTTTAAAAAAAATATATTAATTAAAACTTTTAGTAGTATATTTGATTTGATAATTGGGATTTTCTTGAAACAAGGTTGAACATTATGTGTAAAATCCTATACTAGAAGACCTAGATAATTGAAAATTATTTAAAATTATTTGAATACAAGTTTGTAATATTTTCAATAATGAATTATTTTGATCCGAAAGTGATGTTGAAATTCTATATTTTTAGATGTGTTGGTCTAGTTAGACATTGATTTGTTTGTTATACGTTTTTCTACACAATTGAGTACTAAATAAGATTTTTAAGTAAGTTATATTTTAAATAGGTGGAGTTCAAACATAGAAAAAATGGCTGCAATAAATAAATAGATTAAACACATGTTTAGACTCGCCAAAAACTTATTTGACCTATTTCCATTATTACAATATAAACATTTTTAATATTAAACACTTGTATTTGTCCAGATTTCACAAGAAAATTTTGAATTGATCTCTTTCAAGTTTAGATTTTTTTTTTTTTATCAATTACATAAAAAATAAAGACCAAATTTTTTTATGAATGGACAAGTCTTTTGTAAGTGCAGTCGTAAAAAACACATTATGAAAGAATTAGGATAGGGTTTTGGAGTGAAACTTCAAGTGTTGAACCAACATCGAAGGTTAAAAGTTAAACACTTTATCTATTATTTTATTATTTTTTAATATACTTACTAAGCCAAGTTGCAACTATATATGTATTCATTTTAAATATACAGTCACTCTCCGATAGACCTGCTCTTCCACCTTTGTCCAACATATTGCTGTATTCTTTTTCTTCAATCACAATCTACCATTCAGTGATTTGTTATATTCTTAGTTTATCAATTTTTTAACATATGTCATGTGCTTTAAAAAAGATTTTGTTTTGTATTTAGTGATAATATATATGCAGAAAATATTAAGTAAAACAAATAAACTAAATTATTTTTTAGCACAACACATTATTTGATATAAAAAAAAAAATTGTAGGAAAGAGCAACCATATTACATTAAAATTGATGACTAGTAGGTAGTTTATTGAGTTTTAAAATGAAGGAAGCAATATAATGTGATGGAAGATGATTTCTTACGTATTGTCAAAGAATGGTGGCATATTCAAGAATGGGTTCTCTATGTTATTCGTCTTGACTTTGAATTTTGAAAAGAAGTCCAGGAGATCTAATAGAGGAACTCATATTTGTCTCGAACGAAATGGAAATGACAAAGATGTTAAATCAGTGATGATGGTGAAAAGAAAGTGTCAAATATATGTTTCTAATTGGGACAGGTAACACAGATTCATGTATCTTCTTCTTCTTCTTTGCCCTTAAAAAGCACGAGGCGTCCCATAAATTATTGCTTATTATTTAATTTAATGTCCACCTAGTACCTAACTTTATTACAACTTGCTTAGTAAATGTTTTCATCTTCTATTGTCTCCATTCTCTTTATCACCCTTAATCATCATAACGGTATCCCACCAACGATTTTTCAAATTCCACTTTATCGTATCATTATTGCAACAACACTTTCTTAACTTAACCATTTATCTATACAACTAATTATACTATACTTCTAACACTTTTATGCTAATCATCTAATAATATAATAAAAATTATAAACACATATTTTCTTTTTTTATTTA